CGACTACCGATCACTATCGGCCGATAATCGCTTTGGGATGATTGATCAGCGGTCTCTAAAAAGGCCGATCTCAAAAAACCGATCTCAAGCTGATGACGCTGCCGTGAGAGGTTTGGTACGACATGCAGCGTCACCGTCTCAGTCTCTGTCTGGCGTGGGTAAAATAATTATAATGCTGAAGGTGAGGTACTCATTAAAGTAATATTATTAAAGTAATTAAAGTAACAGCACATTGTTACAGTAAATATGAACATGGATTGACACGAAAATATAGTAATTACACCTTAAATGCATATTATTAAAGTCTACTGTGTTTCACAGTCAACACAGGCGGCGATCGGTGATCGGCCTCAAAAATCCTGATCGGAGCACCCCTACAACAAACAGCAGAATGAGAAATTAATACAAGTTGAATATTGAAAACATTTAACTGGGCAACGTTTTATGTTGTCAAACGTTCTGCAAACAGTGGATTTAAGGAATTTATTAGATATTTTCAGGTATTTGATGTAATGAAATCATTTTTTAAAATTTAATTTCTCAGTTTTTTAATCAAGGCTGGTAATGAATTTCAATAGCATGGAGAGTTGGAAGTGCTATCAGTATTGGCTGAGATGGCAAGCTCATTGGAAATATGTGACTGTGGCTACATGTATACATTTCACTGCTGGGGCCCGTTCTTCATATGTGGATTACTCAGTTAGTTCGATTTTTTTTGTTGGCAATTTGATATAATCCAGGATTTGTAAGTTCTTCGAAGCTCATCCTGGAGTTGCTGTCATAACAAGAGGTCTGTAAAATCAAAACTGCTCGGGAACAGGCTTATTTCACGTAAACAGGATTAGATTGCATTAATATGAACTGTGAGATTTTATGCAGGTGGCTTTGATGCATCGCAGGAGCTGCAAGCCACTTCTTAAATCTCAAAATGCTCTTATGATGCACAGTTAATTTTCACAGTCAGTTGTCTTAAGATGGATCTTAACTTTAATTCATTCTGTCACGTAAAACAAATTCACTTCAAAATTAAATTAATTGCTAATTAAAATACTATTGACTTTGAAAAATGCAAAGCCTGTAAAAAATTTTCAAAATGGGGAAAAATAACTGGGAATCATTTAAAAAAGCGGTTACACATTTTATGTATTAGAACTGTTATGTCATTTTGCTTGCTAAGCTGTTTCCTTGATCTTAATTATATGATGTCATTATGTTGCTGTCTTGCCGCCAGCCAATCACTGCATTGCTGATCATAGTTTTGAGAACATGTCAACACGGAGTAATCCAGATATTTTAATCAAATCCGCTAACTTGTTTGAAGAACCAAATTAGCCAGAGATCAGTTATCATGATTAAAAGATCTGGCATCTGTCAAATCATCTCAGATGTATTAAGCGAGGTACGAAGAACGAACCACATATTCCAGCTAAAATGAAAACTAGTAAACGCCAATAATTTTTGTTCCTTTTTTTACACAATTATATAGATTATCAATTGATAATTACTTATTTTCATGTGGTTTCTTACAAGACTATTCTATGAACTCAAAATACTTTTTCCATAGTGCTTGATTTGTAAACTAATACATTTTGACATTTGCATTACATAACCAGCCCCATATGTATGGCTTTCCTGACATGGTAAACTTGCTGGGTAGCTCACCTGGTACAGTGTTGCACTTGCTATGCAGATCAAAGAGCTCAAAGCCTTGTAGAAGAATTAACCAAAATAATAAAATGTTGCCACAGTCACGTTTAACAGTTCTGGAGTAAATTGAATGCAAATATCATTTTTCAAAAATGTACACAGGCATGTTTTATTCTTGACACTGGGCTTACAGTGACTCTTGTGGACTTGTCACCTGAAAAGTGCAGTGAAATGTACCAGGAGCAATGTATTTACTGTTTTGCAGAACGTAATTCCAGTGAGCCTGGGTTGTGACGTTTTGTAAATATCCCAAAATGTTAAACTTCCTCAAGATTAAGTTTTTTTTTTGTAATTTTTAAACCGTTCTCTCTCTTTCTGTTTGTGATATAGGTTTAGCCGATGGGGACGTGTATTTGACTGTGTTTTGTGTGTATGCATGTCGCCCCTGCAGATCAAACCCTGGTAAGAAAATTTGGTCAACAATGTCTCTGTTTTGCTCTTTCCCTGATTACAGTAAATTAAAAAGTTAATTTGTCATTTTTATATTGTGACATGCTGTGACTTGACATATGTGGCATAATTTCTTGATTTATGTTAATGGGATATTTTGTTGTTTTAATAACATTTACAATATTTACACTGATGTTTAAATAATTGGGGTTGCAATTATAATGTAATTTTCACAGTTTTTGTTTTCTTTTTGTTTTCTTTTTCTTTTTTTTCTCTTTTATCCTCTTTCTCTCTTTGCTCTCAGAATAGTTGACATGCCACCTGGGATGGTGTGTGTGTTCTCTTCTCTTTTCTCCATATTGTGTTGTTGCGTGGTCACCCAGAGCTCTGCTTCTTCCAGCCATCACCCCACTTTCTTGGCCAATGATACATACTTTGAGCACCTGGCTTTGCATCCTGACCCTAAATTGGGTCGGGTCTATTTAGGCGCCCGTGATCGGCTTTATCAGCTTTCTTTCGATCTTCAGCTTGAGGCAGAGGAAGAGACGGGGCCTGTGATAGACAGCCGTGACTGCCTGCCCCCAATTAGTGACACAAACTGCCCACAGGCAAAATGGACCAATAACCACAACAAGCTACTACTCGTGGATCCTTATAGTCAGGAGCTCATCAGTTGTGGAAGTGTTTATCAAGGAATATGTCAGAAACGAAGTTTGGATTCAGTGGGGAAAGTGCTTTTCTCTGCAGAGAGGCCTGTGGATACGCAGTATGTGGCGGCTAATGACCCCAATGTCTCTACAGTAGGACTTGTGGCGCTCACTAGAGGCCGTGGGAAACAACAGCCAGTGCTGTTTGTGGGGCGGGGTTACACCAACAGCCAACCCCCAATATCTACTCGAAACTTAGTTATGGAGCCTGTTTTCTCATATGAAGAAACTTCAAAGTTAGCGGTGGCTGGGAGGCTTTCTGAGTATGACCATCATTTTGTAACATCATTTACCCATCGCTCGTATGTCTACTTCATGTTCTATCGGAGGGACTTACAGTCACCGTCGAGAGAATATCGCACATATGTTTCCCGTATGTGTTTGGATGATACTGCATATTATTCATATGTAGAAGTTCCATTAAGCTGCCGTTCAGCTGGAGGAAAGAATTATAACCTTCTACAAGCTCTACATGTAGGCCTACCAAAGTTAGATAAGGTTATGGGGAAAGAAAGTACAGCTGCTTCGGAACAAGAGGTCCTTTTGGGGGTGTTTTCGAGCCAGTTCGCTTCTTCCAGTCGGCCAAACGAAGAGTCTGCAGTATGTGTGTTTTCACTTGAGGAAGTGGATAAACGTATTGATGCTACAAGAGATCTGTGCTACACTGAAATGGGTCGTGCAGATGGACAGGAGGTTGCATACATCGAGTATGAAGTCAAATCAAACTGTGCCAATCTTCCAACGGTGAGTTTACTGCTTCAGACAACAGTTGTGAACAGCTTCCATGTCCCACTGTTACAAACTTAAAAGCATTTTCTTTAGAGCTATACAGTCAAGTCCTCTTTATTAGTTTGAACAAACACAGTCTCAAAATGATAGACCCTACCCTGGTCACAGGAAACCCATTTTACTACCAGGTGTAAACTGCAATGTGTCTCTTTTGACCACTTGTGATTCATGAATGTTAGTGGAATTATAGCTATAAGGTTAGATTAGGTTGGTAACTGAGGTTGTAGTTTCAGATCCTGCACCACTGTGCCCCTGAACATAGCAGTTAACCTCTTCAGAGGAAGGAAAATTATAATTGAACAAGGCTTCATTCTATGATGACATCAAAATTCCACCACCCCAGTTGTGTAGCCATAAATAAATATTCTAAACTGGTCCGGAGAGGGTAGCTAACAACACAGTTATTTTAAAAAATCAGAGTAAAGACAGTGTTAAAAGTAACAAGAAATCATTCTAATATGCTGATTTATTATGGTTGTGCTGCTTAATGAAATGTGGAAACTGTGATGCCGTGTCCTTTGCTTTTTGTTTTTAGGATTCTCTGATGAACAAAGTTCGAAGAAGAGCATTTGTTTGAAATAATAGAAATGGTCTTCTTTACTGACATTTTTGATGCATTTTATATATTGTTGCTGAATAAAAGTTTTCATTTCTTTCAACAACAACAGTAACAACAAAAATATATTTTTTTAAATGTTATGGGTAGTTTTATTTAGGCTTGAGATATAAACAACTAATCTTTACTCCTTCTATACTACTGTGTAGCAGTGTGCAAAACATTGTTTTTATGTTGACTTTATACCTTAAAAGGTATTTGACATGACAGTCAAATTTATCAGTTGTAAAACAATATTGAGTTGTTAAGCTTTGTTTTAATCTTTGACTTTCGTCTCTCTCTGTAGAACACTTTGGATGCTTACCCATGTGGCTCTGATCACACCCCTAGTCCAATGGCAAGCCGGGCGCTTGTGGAAGCTGAGCCCATATTTGACAGTCCATCTGTCCGTCTCACTGCTGTGGCTGTGAGTGTAAGGGAGGAACATACTATTGCGTTTCTAGGAGACTCCCAAGGAAACTTACACAAGGTATAGAAATGTTTCCATTATTCTTAGTTCTTTTCTGAGGCAAAAATACTTCAGAAAATGTCTTTGTTGTATTGCATTAGGTTGTAAATAAGGCTGGTTATTTTGGAGGAGAAACTCATGAAAATATGAGATTATCTTAATTATTAAGTAATGGTACAATTTTGAGGAGAAACCCACCATCTGATGTTAAGTGCATCATTACGAATGGTCTTCACTGGTGCATTTCATTCCCATTTCATTAACATAGAACCTGAGGCTTAAATAGTCATCATCAGTATTTTATGAATTTTCTCTCTTTCTCTTTTTAAATATACCTATACTATATGTCAATATACAGACCTGAATTATGTGAGACCGTTCACTTAGAGCAGTCTTATACTAATGTTACAGAGGTAGTCTATATTTATGTAGACTTAAGGTACTAAAACCTAAACTATAGAAATAGAAAGCCTCAATTTTGCCATAGGTGATATGTAAAACTTTATTATTAGTTAGCGGGAGTGTGTCTCTCTGTTTTAATAAGCAAAGTCTTGGTGGGATAATTGCGTAAATGTAATGCATGGTACAGTATATCCATTGTTATGGTTTTATCCATCATGTAATTAACATAAAACATTAACATATAATTAGCCCATCTCTTTGTGCATATGTTTAGTGCAGCTTGGGTAGTGGTGAAGAATGATGAATTCGCAAAGATAAAAAAGAAAACAACTTTTCTAAAGCAGTTTCTCAATATGGGATGTGATCCTCATTCTGTTACAGCCCATATTTGGGCCCTTGTTATGCCATGTTGTCTACAAAAGAAAGCTTCAAAAGAAAAATAAAAAAATAAACATATACATAAAAAATAAGGTTGATATGATGACGTATGACTATTTTAATGCTTAGTCTCTTAGAAAAACATTAATAAACAGTACTCAAAAACTGTTTTAGTCCACCACTTTGCGAATAGTCCTACTTCAAAATGTGATATGAGATAAGAGGTTTGAGTAGTGATATCAGAAGTAACTGGTCAGCTCTGTTCCATATGCTCTCTCATGGTGTGTTGTATGTTTCGCTTGACGTTTTATCCCTAATAGGATCTCTTCGTCTTGGTAGTGTTTTATCTATTGTTAGAGTCATTTAACGACCCTAGTGTCGTCCACATTTAGTCTGGATGTAACCTTATGAAATATAGAGACTGGACCTTGTGAAGTTTTAATTTAATGCTCCTGATTTAAAGCATTTTAAATTTCTCCTCAGTTTTGGTAAGAAAGTGTGTGTGTGTGTGTGTGTGTGTGTTTTTGTGTTTTATCCAGGTATTTCTTGGGCCAAACGGTGAGGTGGAAGAATATGCAGTAATCTCCATTCATCCCAGTGCACCAATAAGCAGAGAGCTCAGGCTTGACCATCAAGAGAACCATCTATACATCTTGACAAGTAACATGGTAACTATCACATTACTGAAGTGGAATTGGGAGTGTCAATGTTGTTACTTGTTGACAAAGTAGTTCTTGTAGGTCATGCATAATTAATCTCGCTTTTAAAAATCGACGCGTTTCAAAAAGGCGAGGCATAGAGGAGAAACAATAATGTACAGTATGTGGAAAATAATGTTTTTTTAACTTTAAACCGCATAAACACATTACACCAAATACACAAAATAATGTTCTTTTTAGCAGCATCATATGACCCCTTTAAAGGGTAGTTCACCCAAAAATGAAATTTGTCATCATTTACTCAACCCTCATGTTGTTCCAAACTCGTATGGCTTTCTTTCTTCGGTGGATCACAAAATAAGATATTTTGAAGAATGATGGTGACCAAACAGTTTTTGGTTCCCATTAACTTCTTTTTAATGAGTCTGTATCATTACATGATATTTCAGTTTCATTTTGATTTATCTCTGAAGTTTAGTGCAGTTTTGCAGTCTAGTGCAGTGTGAAGTTTGCAGTCTTTTAATGCAAGCAGTTGCTGCAGAAATTCTCAGGACTATTTTAAGAATTAGCAGACCGTGATCGCTGCCATTCTCGAATATAAGGCTTTTGAATGATCACGTTCATAAATCACACAAATATATTAAAAGGATACACTGGAAGGCAGAAGAATAGCTTTCTGTCTTGCTGGTTTGGTGCAGGGACTATAAGGAAAATAGAGTTGGACTCACATTACAATTAAATGTAATCGCAACCCTGTACAAAACAAAAAATGAATGTCAAATATTGATGGCTTTTGACCATATTTTCTGAGTCGTACAATCCAGCATATGGTGATGCTAAAACAATTTTAATGATATTGCTTGAAGACACCAGAAAAGCAACATTATATATGAAGAAGCTTGAATTTGGACACCTCTAGGGAAAAAAACTGAATTAAAAACTCCCATCTGTTTCATTTAATAAACAAATGATCACATTGATCAGGTTACTGATTAACATAGCTGTGCTTACGACAAAAACGTGTGCTGCTTCTCTGATCACAAATCCACAAATTGAAATTGAATTGATTAGGTAATATTGGTAATATATTAATAACAAAAATGGTTAATATAATAGAATTAAATGTGGGTGTGTATGCTGTGTATGTGTGTAATCTGCAGCTCAAACATTTTGAAAAAAGTGTCTTATGCTCGCTAATACTGCGATTACTTGATTAAAACTATAATAAAACTGTAATAATGTGAGCTATTATTACAATTTAAAATAACTATTTAACTAGTTTATATATTTTAAAATGTGATTTATTCATGTGAAGGCAAATATGCATTTTCAAAAGCCATTACTTTACATGATCCTTCAGAAATCATTCATCAAATAAATGCAGCCTTGGTGAGTCTATGTGTAGTATATAATTTCGTCATTATTTGTATTTCCCCACTGTTTTTATTCATTAATTATCATTTTTATTACTGTGCTCACACAGCTAGAGAAGAGATCTGTAGCAGAGTGTGAAAAGCATTTGGATTGTCAGTCCTGCCTGTTGGCTCATGATCCATATTGTGGCTGGTGTGTTCTGGAGGGGAAGTAAGTTCATATTTGATGAGAACCTCATATACGGAATGTTTTATTTTGAATAATTGGTTACTTGAACTAGAACATTGTGTCTTTGTGCATCAGGTGTGGGCTTCGTAGCGAGTGTGTGCGTGGGGATCAGAAAGATCAGTGGCTTTGGAGCTTTGATATAGAGCAACAATGCCTGAGCGTGACGTTTCTCAATCCATCCAACATCAGCCGAGAGGAGAGGAGAATTGTGTGTTTCACATATTAACACATTTTTAAAAAAAGATCCAGTTTAAAAAGTTAGCCTAATTCAGTAGTACACGTTACATTTCGATAAAATACAAGATGCATATATTTATATAAGCTTAGTTCACAGTGACCATTATTGAGCACACAAACAACAATAACCAACTCTCTGCCTTCAGTTCTTAAAAATCCAAATTGACTTTGTCTCTTATTCCATCTCTCTCTATATTTCTTTTGCTCCTTTTAGATCTCTTTATCCATCCCTGGTCTTCCCAGTCTGGAGCGAGGAGAGCATTACTCTTGTGTCTTCCAGGACAGGTCAAGTTTAGCTGTTGTCACAGAGAGTGGTGTCACTTGCTCTTCTCCACATGTATATACATTGCCATCTGTGTCACCTAGTCAAGGTGAGAATATTGCTAGCTAAATTGTCACATTTGTTATGTATGCTTAACACATTTGTTTTGACACAGGAGGTCTGGCCAGTAAGACATAAAAAACCTAATAGAAATAAACATGGTCTAGTGTTTCATGAGCCGTACAATCCAGCATATGGTGATGCTCAGGGCTGGACTGGTAATCAGTCCAGCCCTGAGATATAAAGATCTCAGGGCTGGACTTCGCCTATATAAAGATTGCTTCACCCCAACTTCTTCCTCGTCGGCTTTTCCCACGTACAGACAGCAGATTTATCAAGAACAGGCTTGCTCTGCGGTGAGTGATGCGGGCCAAAGAGCCAGGCAGGAGGAGGAGAGGAGAGTAGTTGAATATGTAAAGTGCTTGATAGGGACTCGCATCGAACCTATCCTAATGTGTGTGTGCGCCATGAGTGTAGAATACGAAAACACTTTTTAATCAAACGTAAATTCGTCCCCTGTGATTTTTTTGGTCAAGTCAAGTGTGTTCATAGAGGTTTCCATGGGCCAATGCGAATAAATCTAGATTTAAATTCAAAAAGACACGATATTGTCGGACCTGACGTTTTATTCTTATCCTGTTTATGTATATACTGTATTCCATATATAGTACCAGTCAAATGTTTGGACACACGAATGGGAAAGTGTCCAAACTTTTGACTGGTACTGTACTATAATATACACAAAGAATATCAGCCGATATATCGATATCGGCCTTTTTTTACTCCCAAATATTGGTATCGGCCCCAAAAAAACCATATCGGTCGGGCTCTAATACATGTCTACACTACCAGTTAAAAAAAGTTTGAATGTTTTTAAAGAATTCTCTTCTGCTCACCAAGCCTGCATTTATTTGATCCAAAGTACAGCAAAAGCAGTAATATTGTGAAATATTTTTACTATTTAAAATAATTGCTTTCTATTTGAATATATTTTAAAATGTAATTTATTCCTGTGTTAAAAGCTAAATTTTCAGCATCATTACTCCAGTCTTCAGTGTCACATCCTTCAAAAATCAGAAAGAAATTATAGAAATTAATACTTTTATTTAGCAAGGATGCTTAAAATTGATCAAAAATGATGATAAAGGCATTTATAATGTTACAAAATATTTCTATTTCAGATAAATGCTGTTCTTCTGAACTTTCTATTCATAAAAAATGCCAGGGCCGATTTTTGTCCCAGTCCAGCCCTGGTGATGCTAAAACAATTTTAATGACATTGCTTGAATTTGCACACCTCTAGGGGGAAAAAAATGAATTAAAAACCCCCCATCTGTTTCATTTAATAAACAAATGATCACATTGATCAGATTACTGATTAACATAGCTGTGCTTACGACAAAAACATGTGCTGCTTCTCTGATTAGAAATCACAAATTGAAATTGAATCGAATGCTTGAATGCTTCAAGACAAATGGGAGAAATTTTTAAATCACATTGCTTGAGTTTCCATAATATATTTAGTAATAAAGGGATAGTTTACCTACAAATGAAAGTTATTCACCCTCATGTTGTTTCAAAGCAGTTTGCACTTCTTTCTTCACAAAAGATCATTTGAAAAATGTGTTTTTGTTTTGTTTTGTGTTCCACATTTGAACAAAAAGTCATAAAAGTATGGAACAATGTGAGGGTGACACTTCCCATCCCATTTCAAAAACCACCACAAATATTTTCAGCTGAAATCATTTAAACCCCCCACATCTGCTAGATGAAATCCCAGCAAGTTCAAACCTGGCTGGTAGTATATGTGTCATCAAAGATGAGCCAGTGAGACACAAACGATAAGATGAAAGTGAGAAGCCCAAACAGTCATGGCTGTATAACAATCATGACTCTACAGGAATCTCTTCTTGCTAATCTCTTCTTCTTCCTTCTGAATCAGATTTTTTTACAGTCACTCTGTCTCTTCGGTTCCATGATGTTGTTGTGACTTCTCGGGAATTCACCTTTTATGATTGCACAGCAGTCAAACAGCTTGCGGGAAGCATGCCGTGAGTTACAAACACAAACAAACAAAAAAACAGAATTCTACACTTATTAAAGCCTCTGTCACATAAAAAAAAAATCCAGTGATGCATGGTCATTAAGTTTTATAATGAAGTGTAATTAACTTGGTTTTAAAATTTAAAACTAAGATGTATATCTTTATCTATATACACTACCTCTAGGTAATGTGTTTGGATGCACTTTCTTTCTTTTGCAGCTGCCATGGTTGTGTGCAGAGTCGCTGGGGATGCAACTGGTGTGTAAACCAACATATGTGTACCCACAAGGCTGTGTGCGATAAGGGACTGATAATCTATAATGAACATGTAAGTCATTACATCATCAGCAGTGCCTTCTCTCTATGCTTTTGTTTTGATGTGTGGTGAAAATGACGTGTCTCAAACATGAGAACAGTGTTTCCTGCAGAATTATGTGAATAATTGGTAAACAAAACACATCTTACCAGTTTCTTCAAAGAACCAGGAGGCAGATTCACAAAACATTCTTAAGAATAAAATAATTGCTATGCATGTACTTCTTAAAGATGTTCTTATCTTTTTCTTCTCACACATTTTACATCACAAAGTGCTTGCTAATTGAAAAATACTAAAAATAGTAGTGCTGGGCGGTATACCGGTTCATACCGAATACCTATGTTTATTTTTGTTATGATATGCATTTTTAAAATAAATACCGGTGGCGACACTGTTTGAAAGGGGTCCCTTTTCACTGTTGCACTGTGTTGAGGGAACAGCTGTATGTGTTACTAAGCGTGAAAGTTCTGAAACTGAAGCTGTAGAACTAATAGAACGTGATGACACAGAAGAACTCATCCACAATATCCACACTGACCGCCACAAATATCCACCGCCCCCTGCCATCAGCTCCCGCGTCTCACACACACGAGCGCGACTTTAGCACTAGATTTAGCAACTTTCAGACCTTTTTAGAGGCTTTTTTCCATAGAATATTCATACTGACAAACCTAGCGACTTTTTTGGATAAACCTTAGCTATGGTTCAGTTGGAGGATTTCGCCAGTGCTGTCTCGCGAACGCGAGGTCTGACTTTCCTGGAGAAGTGTCACCTCTCTCAGCGTCTGTTCTGTGCAGTGAGCGGCAGAGAAGCAGCGCATTCAGTTGGTCGCACCGCAGCCGACTCGTCAATAAATGAGTACAAAACAGTGTTTCCTAGCACCTGTCGCTTACTGATTGTTTGGAATTATAAATATGAACGTAGTTCGTCTGTTAATATCACATGCACGTTTTTGTTTGTTGTTTTTTTTTAAGGGGTCCCTTTTCACTGTTGCACTGTGGTGAGGGAACAGCTGTATGTGTTACTAAGCTGTATGTGTTGATTTTATCAGACGATGCCGCGATTATAAGTGAGAGTGACTCCTGGTTAACAATTAAAAGGGGTCGTGTTTAGTCACTATTTAGTGTGGTATTTTTTGACAATATTCACTCATCATGACAGTAAAATAGGGCATTCTAAGTCAATATACTGCAGTATTTCCTCTCTCAATCAGTAGAAAATATGGTTAACACCCGGTCATGCATGAAAAAAAAAATACCGTCATGTACCGTGAAACCGGTATAATTTAGAAAAATACCGTGATATACATTTTTGGTCATACCGCCCAGCGCTACTTCATAGGCAGACAAATGTATTGCTATACAATCAGACAACAGTCTGACATTTGAGAATTTTTTAGATATTTGAGAATTTGAAGACTTTTTGATAATATTTTATATTTATTTAGAATTTTAAGAACTGCAGCTAGCAAAGAAAATGCAATAGAAAAAAACAAGCTGTCTATATTTTGTCTTGTCTTTATAATTTATTCATAGTAATTTGTCATGTTTTGGGAAATTGAAAATGTAATTGACTAAAATGCTAATTTATCAAAATTATGAGTAATTCCTGTAATTTGTTCAGTATACTTTTAAAAGAATAAAACACAAATTTCAGCTTGGTAAGGCTAACATGCACTGCAAACATAATTGTAAGTGGTCCACGTTTGCAGCAGCATTCTATTAGGAATATCACAGTTTGAGAATTCAAAACCATGTTTCATAAATCAAAATAAATCATAACTAAACAGTTTTTGAAGTGTAAAAATAGGGTTATGAAATTATTATTATTTTTTACCTGAGTATCAATTTGTAATGGTTCCTTTTATAACCATCTATCTTTATTTATTTTACTATTGTGCCTCTCTTGGTTTTCCCTGCACTTCTCACTCTTAGTGGAAATCTCTGCCCACCCTACCTCCTGCAACCAAAGCCTCTAGAGCTGCATTCACAACCGCACCAGTCACAACACACAAAGTCCCTGAAACCATGGCTCATACTAAACCTTCGACTACTGCCACTGCAATAACTGAAACTATAACTACTGTACTGGAATCATTAACCTCTTCTGCACCTGTGAAACCAACACCATCAACTAGGATTTCTTCTACTTTCAAGCCGTCTGCTACGCCTACAAGTGCCTTTCTCCCCTCTTCCACAGCTGAGACCACAGTACAGCCAGCCTCCACACTCTCTCTGCTAGACGAGATCCTCTCAGAAAAAGAGCTTCTTGTTACAGATATTGAATCAGTGGCTCTGAGGGAGACAGACACTGATGTGGTTACTCTTGCAAGTTTGGCAGTGGTTGTAAAAACTGAGTTGCCATCAGTCATCGAAGCTGCTGAGGAGCAAAGGATTTCACTGCCATCATCATCGGCTGAAACCAAATTGCCACCACTAATGGAGCCAGTCACACGTGATAGCTTGCTTACCAGCACCCCTCACAATTTGGCAGAAACACTGAATTTGATAAATGAAACCCAAACTACAGTTTTACCTTCAAATCCAGAACCAAACATGTTTGATTCTGAAACCAGTGACTTTTTGCCTGTTTCTGAGAGAGTGTCACCTGCCGTGCCTTCAGAGAATAGGATAATCACTGACCGTCAAGAGGCTCATTTGGCTCCAGAGGAAGCTGAGGTGGATCAGGCAGAGAATGACAACACAACATTTTCTGCAGCTACAGTCTTATCAGGGGATGGAGAATCAGACAGTGATCCCCCAGTATACCTCCATTTGCGAAGTACAGACATAGATGCTGATTACCAGTATGACTCAGCAGATTTACCGGTGAGTCCAAACATCTAGAACTAATACCAAGCCATAATTAAAAAAACTAAACAAAACAAAGAAGAATGTTTTTTTCTGTCATGCTTACAATGTAGTTTCTTAGTTTGGAATAACAAAGAAATCCTATAAATACTCTCATTATTTTTTGATTTACACTTGTATAATACACAGTACAACGTATACAGTATAGTAATTACATAACACAGTATAATAATATGATGACGAATATGTCCGGAGAAGCATAATGAATTGTTTTTATACAGCTAATGAAACTGGAGATGGCTGCTCAGAAGCGTTCCATTAGCAATTTAAAATGGTTATGGCAATTTTTGTGTTTAATTAAGTGGATATCAAAGTGTAAGTGTTTTGAGCGTACTTTAAATTACTGATTACAAGGAGTTTAGTATTTACTGTTACATAATAGCTAAATTTAGTCATTTGTTGTGTTAAATTATCAACTCTCTTTTTACTTTAACAGTCATTTTTATTTCTGCTAATAATGACAGTTTGCTATATATATGTTTTTATATTAGTTTAAGTTTTTTAAATTTTAGGTTTATAAACTATTTTGTACAGTATGTGGAAAATAATGTTTTTTTTTAACCTTAAACCACATAAACACATTTCAATATACCAAATACACAAAATAATGTTCTTTTTAGCAACATCATATGACCCCTTTAAAGCATTTTATTTCAGCAAGTTAAAGCATTAATTCAAAGTTTTATTCTACAACAACAGAAAAGTTGGTAAAATTCTTGAACATTTACTATCTCCATCTTCGTGATATTTCTATTTTGGCTTTAACATGTAGTTGAACGTTCTGAGTAAACATTGTAAATTAAATTATTAAATTAATTCAGATAATACACATTTCGTCATTTGGTCACATGCATTAATCTAATGGCAAATCAAATTATAACCCAGAAAGAAATGCTGAATTTAGTAGTAGAATGTATTAGAATTTATTTTTCTGCTTACATTTTTTTGGTCATGTAAATCCTTTATCCCTTAAATCCCTTTCTCCTACTCCTTTTCACTGGATGATGCGACACAATACTATAACATTCACTCTCATACATGCTTGTGTGTGTTAACATATAATTGAACTGTTTTTTAAAATCAGGCTGATGAAGGCACTTTTGTCAATTTGGGGGCATCTGCCTGCCCATGTGTGGAGAAGATTCAAGGATCCTCTCTGCTTCCTGTCCTAACTCAGAGAAAAATCTCTCTGCTGGCCCGCAACTTGCATCTCTATCAGGTAGAAATAAACAAACAAACACCCACTTCTTTCTGGATTTAAAAAAAAATACATCTCCATTAAAAAAAAAAACTGTTTAAACACACTTGTGCCTAGGATAAAGAGCTGGCATACGAGTGTGTAATGGTGATCGAGGGGCAAACTGTGGTGGTTGATGCAGATGTGACGCTGAATGAGGCACACCCTTTGCTGTTTGACATCACCTGTCATGCTCACCAGGTACCACAACATAATTCAGAGCAAGATTTGTGAGTATTACCTGAGCATGTTATGAGGCCCTCATATTATACTCTAGTACAAAAAAGTGCACATTTTGAATATCTCCCTCATCTAACGCACCTAATTCAGCTCATCATCTCATTAGTAGAGACTGCAAGACTCAGGCTATGTCTACACTTATCCAGATACATGAGAAAATGCATTTTTTTCTCTACGCTTTGGCTTTCGTCCACACTAAAAAGGCATTTTTGTCCTGCAAGATTTTTGAAGACGCTTTTCTAAGTGGATAAATTTGAAGTTTTCACGTTGCAATGTGGACTGTGAAAACTGACGTATTTAAAAACTATGGTGTATGTTTAGTCATGTCACATATATTGTACGATATGTGTAACATGACTGGGATATGAGATATTTAAGACTAACAGGTTTAGTCAAATATAATGAGTATATGGTGTAATATTTCGCAAAATGCTCCTTTCTAGACTTCATTTCTCTAGTGAACTAACGAGGTGTGGACACTGATGACTTGCTGAGGTAAATTAAATGCTACGTGACATTTTATTTCCGCGCTGTATTGTTGATGTCTTTCCGCGGTTGAAACATTGATTGAGCAATTACATGAGGCATGAGATGTTCAGTCATGTTTATTCGCGTTAAAACTAGTAGTACAGAGGAAGGAATGATCGCGTTCACTCGCGCTCCGCTCTGCACAAATCTGCGGGGCGTCACGGCTCAGACACCGGAACCGGAGCTGATCGCGGCCGCTCTAGTCAGTGCTTGTGTTGGGAATATACCAGCACGTTTCTGAACCGTCCCAGAAGCGGCTCTCTAAGGCGTTTATACAGCGATCTGTCATGCCACATAAAAGACGGTCAAAACGCCATTTATTATTTGAATTTCCTGAGAAGAAGAAGAAGAAAAAAACTGTATTCGTGCGGTACACATGCGTACCGAACCGAAAGACCCGTACCGAAACGGTTCGGTACGAATACGTGTACCGTTACACCCCTAGTGTACAGTCTTCATATTCAATTTCTGCAAAAATTACTGAAACTTTACTTGCAATTGCTGTCCTGTGGCAAAACATGAGGGCAATTGCATTTTTTATCAGTCATGTGTGGAATGCCAAATAAGTGTGACCTGGATGCAGAAAGTGGTGAGATGTTTTGGTAACACTCTACTTAAAGCCTTCATGTATAATGCATTATAACGGTATTCATACTGTTCGTTGTAAAGCATTATAACTTTTCATAAATAATTGTAACCAAACTTAAAATGCGTTTGTAACCACACTTAAAATGCATGGTAGTATTTGTTTTTCATTTTGTTTTAATTCAATATACTTTCTAAAGGTGTAGCAATGAATACCTACTGTAAGTATTATATAACGTATTATATATGGGGTTACAATTATTCATGAGATCATACAATGCATTATAAGGTGCATTACAAGACATAATTAATGCATTAAAACTACTTTTATAATGCATTATAAAGGCTTTAAGTAAAGTGTTACCAATGTTTTGGTGGAAGAATAGTGTGAGAACTTTATTATGTCTGGTATCCCAGTAATCATCTCAGTGAGCTTTTATTACGTTTTATATCTGAGATGATTTTAGTGTTTTCTGACGTTTCAGTGTGGATGAGAAATTTTGGAAAATACTCGAAAATGCTGGTGTGGGTGAAGAGCATTTTAAAATTAAGTTTTGTAGATGTCGCTTTGAATTGTGTGTGACTAATGAGGAAGACATCCAAAATGTGCAGTGGTGGGGGTCCCTAGGACAGGTTTGAGAAGCACTGCTCTAATATATATATACTGTATAGATGTGTAGCCAGGCAGATAATGCACATGCTCCAAAATGTGTCTCGTCTCCCTGTTATTCACTTTAGTTTCCTGTTACTTCTCTATAGTGCTGTCTAAGTAAAGGCAAAAGCCCACAACAATAATTAAAGAACTATGTAGTAGTTTTAAATGCATGTGTGTTCTGTGAGGAAAGACTGCAGTTTGCAAATATCATCGATACTCACTCAAAATTTCTTTTCTGTAGTTTTTCTATGCAGACCCAGTTAGAGAGTATAATGCTATGGTGTATGTGAAGAGAAAAGACACTTTTCATATTGACAGCACTGACCTTTATGGTGAGTATAATTTTTTGATGCTCATGATGAGCTGTGTTTGTGCAAAATACACACAAATATAGAATTTTTAATTGCCTTATGAGCCCATTAAATACATAGCTATAGGGCCCTGGCACTTTCCATAAAAAAAAAAAAAAATCTAAAAGGTTTTTAAACCTTTATATTGTATGCTTTTATATGGTTTAGTATCAATAGTCATTAATTTAGTATACAAATGTAAATGTTAACTTAATCTAATGGGTTTAAATTAAGCTATCACTCAGTTGAGGCAAGCTGGTGATAGAGAAAATATTAGAAATTAAAGAAAAATATTTGTTTGATCATTTTTTTCTTACAGTGACTTGCGTATAATAACTTAAATGGTTTAAAGATGAAAAAAGATAATGGAACACCGTTATTCATAAAAATTGCTTTTATTTTCTCGATTAATGTCTCCTGCTGTTGTCTCCCCTCTGTCCAGTTTAACTCTCATTTGTGGAAAGTGTAGTCTTTGGGCCTTTGGCCTGATAATCTGTTTGTGTTTTTAGATTGCTAAATAAAACAATTCTTTGAAAATGTAGTTACTGAATCTCACTCTTATGTATGAATTTGAAGTCTATTTTGTCTGTATTGTAACTATGTTCTTACTGAGTTTCTTTGTGTTCTATTTCAGTGACGTTATATAACTGTTCAGTTGGGCACTTGGACTGTAGCCGCTGTCATACTGCAGATCAGAAGTACAACTGTGTGTGGTGTGGAGCCAGTTGTGTTTACAGAGAGTCCTGTTCCCAACACATCGAAATGACCTGTCCTGCTCCTCTCATTCATTTGGTTTGTTAAATAGTCTCAAATTTGACTAATTGCATGATACTTTAGTGCATATGCAGTTTGTAACTTTTTAAAACCCTTTAATGCACAAGTCTAAAATTAATTTTGCTTTAGCATAGTATAACACTGACCCGCTTGTGATCGGATTGACTGAAACACATCCGAACCCTGGGTGTAAATGGGACCTCTATTCTTTTCTTTTCTCCATTCTGTTCTTTCCCTCCTTACTCACTCTCTCTAAGAGAAACTTTCTGACCCTACAATTAACACGCATACACCGTCTAAGGGAGTGAAACCTGTTTGCATATGTCTGTGTGTATGACTTACAATACATAATGCTGTACCATTCGGTACCTTCCAATGACATTATATTCATAAATATAAGAAATAAGTATAAATATACATAAATATAAGAAGAGTAGTAGAGTGTTATCAATGCCAGGGTTGAGGTTTCAATTCCCAGGGAATGAATGAACAGATTAAATGTATAACTTGAAAGTAATGCAAGTCACCTTGGATAAAATCCTCTTCCAAATATGTAAGTGTAAATGTAAATCTGTACCACCATATAAAAAAGATATCACTAAAGACTGGTTTTCTGTCCATAGGTGGAGCCTTCACACATCCCCTATCCCTCCATTTCCTGTTTTTCATCTGATTATTATGTGCGTTGGCATGTTGTTGTTATTTGAAAATGGTTGTTGTGGAATTCCTTCTGATGATTGCAGAAGAAAACACTGTAATTATTTAGTTCTTGAATGCAGAATTTCTTCTGATTGTATCTCTCAACCTTGCATCCTTTAAGGACCCGAAGCTGATAGAAGTTTCTCCTCAGAGAGGACCAAAGGCAGGAGGAACAACTCTGACAATCACAGGCACAAAACTTTTGACCGGTCGTGTTACTGATATTAGTGTCCTACTAGGGAATGTGCCTTGTTCATTGTAAGTACTATGTATCACTGTGGAAAACTGTCTCCTGTAGATTGGTGTAATATGAGTATTGTCTGTGATTAGGAAGTTCTTTTATGCCCTTTTTTTCCTCTGCAGAATATCAAGTGTTCAGGAGGAAACTATCAAGTGTCTGACTGGTGCTAGTAACAGGACAGGAGAACACAGAGTGACTGTGCAGTATGGAAACACTGAGCGACATCTCCATGGCAATGGCTATTACTATACCCCTGACCCCAACATTACACATGCCATACCCTCTAAGAGCTTTGTCGGGTGTGTGTTTGAGTTTACCTGCCTTTATTTCATTTACATTTGTTTCTTTATCAGATGCTTTTATCCAAAGTAACTTAGTGACAAATAATACAACAAAGATCTTCAGGTGAACATGAAGTGTTGAAAATAAGAGTTTTAGCCATTGTTTTAACCAAGAGTACAGGTTAGAACCGGGTGGGAAATAAGAAATTGCAGAAGCTTGGAGAAACAAAAGCATATATTTTTTTAAAAATAGAGTAAACATCATTGGTATTCAGTCAAATGCTGACAGAAAAGTTTTTTAGATGTTTTATGATTATTGTTTGGGACTAGGCTGTTTTTGAAATTATAATTATGGAAATGTATATTTGTCTATAGGCCTGTACATAGAAATTATTTAATGGAATTATTAAATGGGATTTTTGTTTTGGGATCTATCATTGTAGTGTACTGTAGTATGAATGTCAGAGTGCAACAGCTTATTGAACAAAAAAAAAAAAGTATGATCATAGGGAACTTAGGGAGTTGATTTTATTTATCAGTTGCTGATTCAAAAGTGACCTGGGTGACCATAAAATGTGCAAAAAAAAAAAAAAAACCTGCAAGGCTGTATTTATGAACTTTTCTTTTAAAACTTTCACTTTAAAAAAAAAACAAAAAAACTTCTGGAAGTGTGTGTGTGTGTTTTTTTTTCTTCTCTTGAAAATCTTTAACATTCCTTCGTTTACACATTTATACAGTGGAGGGCGTGCAATTAGCGTTTTCGGCCAGAACTTGGATGTGGTCCAGAAGCCTCAGATGCGAGTTACAGTGGTCCTCCCAGACTCCATTTACCCCTTGAAGAGACGTAGACGAAGGAGAAAAAAAAGTGTAACAGATGTGGAAATGCAGGAAACAAACTGTACAGAAGACTGTTCTATCATACAGGTTTCTTTTCTTACCTAATAAACTTATACACTGAATTTTTTGTTTCCCCAGTTTTATACTCTGTTTCTAAACTATATTCACAGATTAGTAAACCATTCCAACACCTGTACACACAAATTTGAAGCCCATCTTCTCAATTTAGAAATTTTTGCCCACTGCTTTATTCATAAACTCACATGGACAATTGGTTGAGATTTAAATTATTCATTGGAATATACAGTATAAACTATTAATTTTAAAAAACACTTATATACTATCTAATTTAATATCTGGTATGACTATGGTAAGTGCATTGATTGCCGATTGTTACTTTAATGGTTCTGATGTTACTTTTATTGGCTATCACACATTTATTCTTTTATGGACTCTTTTATTAAGAGTGACCTTCAAGTGAGATTCAGAAATACTTTTAATGTTCTAAAGGAAATCTGTCTTGATTCACAACGGTTTTAAGATTGATCAAATAAAGAAATTTTCAATCAATTTTTTAAAGACAATTTTATTAAGATATTAGATTATAGTCTTTGGTGAACAGTCTCCATAGTTATGCATCATTTTGTGTAAAATACTTGGGTGACTTTGTCCACTTACACAGTGTTATCTAATTTCTCTTGTTTTCATTTTCTCTGTAGTTTGAGGAGGATTGCGAGGTGAAAACCTCTTCTCTGTTGTTGTGTCGGACTCCTGGTTTAGATGCTAAGGTAGTTGGTGGCCGTATGCTGGTTGAGTTTCTGTTGGATAATTTGCGCTTTGACTTTAACTCTGTCAGCCAATCACCTTTCATCTATGAACCAAACCCAATTCTGCACCCACTGAACCATCGTGATCCCACAAAACCATATCGTTACAAACCTGGATCAGTTATATCAGTGGAGGTTAGTGGGACTTTTGCTGATGTGTTTTTTATCTATTTATTTCTTTATTTTACTTGTCAAGTTTAAGAACTTAATTTTATGCTGCTGCTTTTAACATTTTCTTGGACCCCTTTTCATTTCTTTCTACAGGGTGAGAATTTAGACTTGGCCATCTTTAAAGAGGAAGTAGTAGCACTGATTGGTGAAGGAGTTTGTACTGTTAAAACTTTGACACATAATCACCTTTATTGTGAGCCACCACCCCAGCAGCCCCCTCTTTCCCTTAGGCACGGGCGCAAGCGAGAGGGAGCTGAGGCCTTTCCAGAATTTATAGTAAGGATGAAGCCAACACCCTCACAAACTGAGCTTTAAATTTCACTTACATCTTCTATTATGAAGTGGCTGTAATTTGCATTTTTTGTTGCAGATATTGTATTGCATGAACAGGGGTGTGTAATAGTGTGTCTGTCTGTTTCCAGGTTCATATGGGAAACTTGAACTTTTCACTGGGACAAGTGCAGTATGATTCTCCTAGTCACTCTATCTTTCCACTGGTGGCGCAGATTGGTGTTGGAGTGGTGGCTTCTCTTGTTGCTCTTATTGTGCTTATCATTGTGTTTATATACAGGTGTGTATGTAATATGTAATGTGAGAGAATGTGCTAAATACAATGCTGTGAAAAAGTTAGTACCCTATAAAGAATATAGCTTTTTTTTTTACGTATTTGGATTAGATTGGCATTTTACCAGTGTTAATGGATAAATGGCAATAGACTTTAAATAAATAAATAGCAATAGAATTTGATAATAAATTGCCCAGCGTAAATCGGAAAACACAGAATGCCCATTTCATGTTTGGAATGCTTACCTGCTAGCAATGAATAATGCAATAAATCAGTATTGAAACATTTATAGACTGGTATATGAACTTAATTGATATTGTGTGCCCTCATATCTCTTCCACTTAGGAGAAAGAGTAAACAGGCTCTGAGAGATTATAAGAAGGTTCAGATCCAGTTGGAGAATCTAGAGACCAGTGTGAGAGACCGTTGCAAAAAAGAGTTTACAGGTAATTTATGGCTACATTTAGGATGAGATCAAAGGATAGATTTGAATGATTTTAAATGGCTGGTTTTCCCAGAAATGAAAATTCTGTCATCATTAATTTACCCTCATGCCATTCCAAACACAAATGAAGATAATTGTCATTCCCTTGATTGACATCATTTTTGTCTATCCATTGAATTCTACATTTGTGCTGCTGTTTACTATATTTCAAATGACATGAGGGTGAGTAAATGATGACCGAATTTTCATTTTTTGGGGAACTAACCCTTTAAGTCTAAGAAAAGCTGCAAGCGAGGCCAAAATGTATTCCATCATTCATTCATAGTGGTAAATAAAAAGTAAATAAAATGATACTATTTGGAACTGTTGGTCAAAATCGGGTCCACTTGTTCCACAGAATCTGAAGAGCTTAATTAATTTGAAATGTTCAATAAAGCTTCTTAAAATGTTTAAACAAATCACAAATTATCCAGTGCAGTATTTCAGCCATCAGTTAAGTTTCTCAAGCCGTTCCTCAAGAAAATCTGATCTTTAATAATCGTACAGTTGACTCTTAAACCTCCACAGATCTGATGACTGAAATGATGGATATGACAAGTGATCTGGTTGGATCAGGGATTCCTTTCTTGGAGTACCGCATGTATGCTGAACGCATCTTTTTCCCTGGGCACCGTGAGTCGCCACTTCGCAGAGACCTGGATGTGCAGGAGTGTCGACGGGCCACGGTGGAGCAAGGACTCATTCAGTTATCTAATCTCCTAAACAGCAAACTCTTCCTCACAAAGGTAGCTAAAATCCTTTTTTCCTCACTGTTGACCAAACACTCAAAGATGAGCAAACACTCTTAACACCTTGTGTATACCAGTTTGTTTGCTGCTTTAAAATGTAATTTTTTTTTTTTGTCACTTTTACAGTTTATCCACACTCTTGAGAGCCAGAGGACATTTTCACCTAGAGACAGAGGATATGTGGCCTCTTTGCTCACTGTGGCTCTTCACAGTAAACTAGAGTACTTCACTGACATACTCAAAACACTGTTGAACGATCTGGTGGAACAGTATATTGCCAAGAACCCAAAACTCATGCTCCGGAGGTAAGGATGTTGCAGTAACTGACATTAGCACTTATGTCTTGCCTGTCTGATGTGAAAGCCTGGTTGTCTTTAAATGTTCTTAATTTCAATGAGAGTAAAACTGAAATAATTGTGTTTGGTCCGTCGGATTCTCGTAGTACACCGAAAGTAAATCTTGGCGATTTAACCTCTTCCGTGAAGCCTTGGGTAAAAAAATCTGGGTGTTATTTTTGATGATTTGATGTTATTAAAATTTGATAAATGGATAAATACGGTGGTCAAGTCCTGCTTTTTTTCAGCTTCGACTTCTAGCGAAAGTAAAACCTATTTTGTCTAGTAAAAATTTTGAAAAAGTAATTCATGCTTTTATTACATCTAGATTAGACTACTGCAACTCGCTGTATTTTGGGATTGGTCAGTCAGCCCTATCCCGCTTGCAGATAGTTCAAAATGCAGCTGCAAGGCTTTTAACGAGTACCAAAAAACGGGATCATATTACACCAGTTTTACGTTCTCTGCACTGGTTGCCTGTGTGCTATCGAGTTAATTTTAAAATTCTTCTCTTAGTGTTTAAATCATTAAATGGTTTGGCCCCTGCTTATTTTATCTGATTTATTGACTGAACATCGGCCCCTCTTGTCTCTCCAGTCGTCCAACCAGAGATTATTATGCATCCCAAAGTCGAAGCTTAAATGCAGGGGTGACCGCGCTTTCTCAGTTGCTGCCCCTAGATTGTGGAATGCTCTGCCCCACTGTATTAGATCTGCACCTTTACTATCTGTTTTTAAATCCATGTTGAAAACCTACCTGTTTGACTTGCCGTTTTATCAATGAGAACTTTCTACTGTACTGTTTCTTTTAGTAATTATTTTGTATTGTCTTATTGAAATGTTTTTATTGTGCAGCACATTGGTCAACCCACGGTTGTGTTTAATGGTGCTATATAAATAAAATTGACATTGACATTGACATTAGAAGTACTGATTTAATATTCATTGTTCTCAAGTGTCTGTATGACTGAGGCTTTTATTGTCTTCTCAGAACAGAGACGGTAGTTGAAAAGCTCCTGACAAACTGGATATCCATCTGCCTCTATGCTTTCTTAAGGGTGTGTATGAAAATTGGTAGAATTGTTTGGTTTCTAATATATAAATTTACCGTGGATAAAAAGAGATGCTTTGTAGTTTGCAGTTTTAAAAAAATGTGATTAGATGGTAAACAGTGTAAAATAATTGTCCAGGAATGTAATTAGCCTCTTAAAACATGAGGATGTCTTAATTAAGACTGCAGGATAGTTTAACACCGAGGTCCTTGAGGATCTGATGACAGTTGATAGAATTTTAAAAGAATTTATGTGTGTTTTTAAGTAGATCATCTATACTGTATTGTGTAAATTATTATATTTCTGCTTCCGGTGTTTAGCATTCAGCTGGTGAGTCTCTGTACATGCTCTTCAGAGCAATTAAACACCAAGTGGATAAAGGACCTGTGGATGCAGTGACTGGCAAAGCCAAATACACCTTAAATGATAACCGTTTGCTGAGAGAGGATCTGGAATACCGCACTCTGGTTAGAATCTTTGAATCTCTTTATTATGACTTGAATCTCTTTATTATACAGTTTTAGTGCATTAGTCTAATTGGTTTCTGCCAAAAAGCTTTTGTAAAAAAACAAAAAACAAATTGTTTTAATGACTGAAACACTCCATCTTAGCTCACAGATTGTGTCCACTCTTACAAAATGTAAGCATCACAGTGTTTGGTTACACTTTATTTTAAGGTGTGATTGTTAGTGTAAATACATTAGTATGTAATGAGAAATATTAATTAAAAACATGTACTATAGACCTTAGTCAGGGTAGCGGCATATTAAATTTTGGACAGGAATGAAAATGTGGCTGTGAGGGCTAGAAGTACATTAAATAGATTATACTGTTGTTGAACAACATACTGATTGTTCAGCTTATAAAATGTGTTTCAGGAAAAAAAAAATGAGTAGACAAAAAAACTCCATAAAACAGTTTTGAAAGTTGTCAGTTGGGAAAATTGTGTGATCTGGAATCTTTTGTACTGTTTGTGTCAATGTAAAGATTTGCGTTAAATTTAACATGGCATCTGACCTGACTAAGGTGTATAGGGATAGAATTAGAATTTGGTTTAGGGTTATTTGCTTGTAATTATGACTAGTTTACTGTTATTACTGTAGTAAGTACATGTAACATGTATACTGAAGGACACTGTAAAATAAAGTGTTACCCAGTGTTTTTTTATTAAAGAGATTACATACACTGATGAGCCAAACTCATAGATGAAATGAATATTGTTAATAATCTTCTAACAAGGTCACGTGAAGGTCTAAGTAATTTTTTTTATGGTAAATGAACAATCAGTTTATTTAGTCAATGTGTTGGTGCAGGAGAAATGGGCAGGAATAAAGATCTGAGTGAGATCTGACAAGGGCCAAATTGTTGTGGAACAGCAAGACTTGTGAGGTGCTCCGGAGAAGAATTTACCAACAGTTGTCCGAGGAGGTGCAAACCACAAACTGGTGACAGCGTGTCCAAGGCTCTTTGATGGTAGAAGGTCCATGTGTCAACAATTTTAATGATGGGCCTGTGTAGATGCAGACTGGCCAGAGTGCCCATGATGATGACCCCTGTATACAGCCAAAAGACCCTAGAATGGGCACACAAGCAAAAGAACTGGACTTTGGGGCAGTGGAAGAAGGTTTTCTTTTGCATCACATTTACTTGGGGATGTAATGGGACCAGGATACACTGCAGGAAGATGACAAAGCTGGTTGAGGGACTGTGATGCTCTGGGCAATGTTCTGCTAGGAAACCCTGTTTCCAGCCATTCATATGGTGTCAATTTGACACATGCCACCTACCTAAACCTCATTGCAGACCAGGTGCACTTTTCATAGCAATAGCATTCCCTGATGGCAGTGGCCCCTTTTAACAGGATATTGCACCCTGCTACATTGCACACATTGTTCAGGAGTGGTTTAAAGAAGCGTAATGAAGAGTTAAAGTGATCTCCTGATCTCCAAATTCTTTAGATGTTAATCTGACTTTGCATCTGCGGCATGCGCTGGACCAACCAGTCCAATCCATGGTGGCTCAACCTCGCAACTTAAGGACATGAAGGATCTACTGCTAATGTCTCGGTGCCAGATACCACAGGACACCCTTAGGGGTCTTGTACAGTCCATGACTCGACAGGTCAGTGCTGTTTCAGCAGCACAAGGAGGGCCAACAGCATTTTAGACTGGTGATTGTAATGTTTTGGCTCATCAGTGTATTAATATAGAATTAACATTGTTCTCACAGTAAGTTTCTCAACCCTGGGTTTCTGTCTTATGAGTATAATTGAAGGATGATTGTAGAGTGGGTATAGAAAAGAATCACCCTCTTTAAAATAATCACATTTTGTTGCTTTGCAGCCTGAAATGAAGACGGACACAGTTTTTGTTTTATCCAGCTGCATTTCCTCAGTGTAACTTATAACATCCAAGTGAAAGATATAACACCAACATGTCAGAAAAAAAAACAGAATCAGAGTTGGATAAAGGATCACCCCCTTGTGTATTTTGTTGAACCACCTTTTGCTTTAATTACAGCCTGTTGGGATATGTCTCTACAAACTTTGCAATATTTGCCCACTCTTCTTTTGCAGAACTGCTCAAGTTCAGTTAAATTTGATGGTGACCATTTGTGGACTGCAGTCTTCAAGTCATTCCACAGATTTTCATTGGGGTTTAAGTCTGGGCTCTGACTAGGCCATGCATTCTCCTTCAACCACTGTGTGGTCAGTTTTGCTGTGTGCTTTGGGCCATTGTCATGTTGGAAGGTAAACCTTCTTCCCATTGACAACTTTCTGGCAGAGGGCAGGCGATTTTCCACAAGAATTTGACAGTATTTTGCCCCATCCATTTTTCCTTCTATCCTGACAAGTGCTCCAGTCCCTGCTGCAGAGAAACACCCCCATAACAGGATATTACCACCTCCATGCTTTACTGTAGTAGGAATGTTGTTATTTGGATGGTGAACTGTATTGAATTTTCGCGTTTGGTGTTGAGGCCAAATAATTCAATTTTAGTCTCATGTGGCCTCAGAATCTTCAAGGTGCGTTTTGGCAAAGCTCAGTCGTGACTGCATGTGGCCTTTCTTGAGGAGTGCCTTTTTTCTTGCAACCCTCCCATACAAGCCACATTTGTGGTAAATTTGTGATATTGTTGTCACATGCACACAATGAACACTCTTTGTCATAAAGTCCGGCAACTGCTTCAGTTGCTGTAGGCCTCTTGGTAGCCTCTTTGAGCAGTTTCCTCCTGGCTCTTTCATCCAGTTTGGAGCGACGTCCTGATCCAGGGAGGGTCGGTGTTATACCCAATAACTTCCACGTCTTATTAATATATTTTATTGTGCTTCTAGACATCGATAAAGCCTTTGAAATGTTTTTGTATCCATCTCCTGACTTGTGCCTGTCCACAACTTTATCCCGGAGATCTTTTGACAGTGCCTTGCCATCCATAGCTGATTCTTACCAAATGCTGAAGGGTTCAGATATTTCAGTATCATTGTTCAGCAAAACATTGCTGGTTTTATGGTGGAGGTGAAAGATGTGCAATTTAAACAGATTATGGTTCAGATCAGAAGCCATTGTCTTGAAGAGAAAATAGGAAAATCAACTGGGATATTTAAAATAAACAAATCAGTTTATAAGATTTATTACAGAATCATAGATAGATTTTTTTGTGCTTGTATAAAATGTAAATAATTAAAATGTGATTTTAAAATACTTAATTCTTTCTCTTCTCTTTTTTTTCACTTTAGACATTGAATGTCTTGATGCAAGGAATAGGTGTGAATGAGGCTCAGCCAGTTGCTGCCAAAGTTTTAGACTGTGACACTATAACCCAGGTGAAGGAGAAGATACTAGACCAGGTGTACAAGGGCACCTCATACTCTCATAGACCACATGCTGACTCTGTGGACCTGGGTGAGAACATTCATACATGTCTGCCCTCTCTTACCCATAACAACGGTGTCCTCTTTACGTCATATTCATTAATTCTTACATTCTTTGTTTGTTTCTTTTCAAACTTTATATGTCTTTGACTTTACATGTGGTTTTCATTGTTCCTTGGGCATTTCCAGAATGGCGGTCTGGTGTAGCAGGTCACCTAATCCTCTCAGATGAAGATCTAACATCTGTGGTTCATGGCAACTGGAAACGCCTGAACACGCTCCAGCATTATAAGGTACAATGCAATCTTTAAAACACACTGTTCTGTAAACCACTCAAGTCAAATGCTTTACAAATAACAATGCCTTACAAATCTTCTTAGTGTGCAAGCCAATTGAAAAACTAAAGGTGCGGGCACATTTACAATTGCTCACTGTTGCAAAATTTTGTGAGCAAAATCCAGTAATTTCAGTAGAAATCAGTGCATTTAGGAATTTTGCATGAGGATACAAATTTCCCAACACGTGTTTTTGCATTGGATTCAAGGTGGTCATGCAAATTTGATCAACAGAAATCTGCTTTGTTTAAAGTGGAGGACCGAATAGGGACTATCCTCATTTGACTAGTGCATTGTTTAAACTGATGTACACATGCCAAATATTCCTTAGTTACATGATATATCATATAAAATATATATAACATTTTTAACTTCTATTCTTCATATATTTTTGGGATTTCAGGTTCCAGATGGAGCAAATGTAGCTTTGGTGCTGCGCCAAAGCAAACATATTCATCATGATACCCATGATTACTTTGCAGGGGAGAGTGAGTACACTATATCGCACGTGACTATGCAAAGTGTTCATGTTCACAGACACGCAACACACAGGGCTGTTTTTTATGATTGTTTAGACAGTATTGTGTAAAAAAAATTACAAATTAAAAGGGTACTGTGGTACTGACTATAGACTTCCTTCCACTGTAGAAAAGTGAAGTCAAAATATCCCAAGATAGCTGCTGCCATCTTTCGCTGATGATGTCATTTGAAGCCTGAGTCTGCATAGTATCAATGTTCTGCCTATACTATCGCAGATTCAATCACAAGCACACCCTCCTGAACTTTATGCAGGCTGGCTTCTCCAATTTTGATGTAAATGTGCTTCAGTCTCCTCCCGAAGCCCCCCAAAAAAGTCTGCTTGTGCCTTGTGATTACTTCACCCAGAGAAGCTGTCAATCATAGTCACACCCTATTTTTAAAGCATCAAATAACTAATTAAATCTTTAAAACTAACAATTGAACTTACATCAGCATGATAAGAACTATCTTAAAATGACAGAAACCACCTTTGGGCCTTTTTTTTTTTAAAGGGGTCATATGATGCTGCTAAAAAGAACAGTATTTGGTGTAATGAAATGTGTTTATGCGGTTTAAGGTTCAAAAAACACATTATTTTCCACATACTGTACATTATTGTTTCTCCTCTATGCCCCGCCTTTGTGGCGTTATGCAAATCTTCCCACAGAGCGACGTAGGTATGTTGGGGCGTGTTAGAACGAGCCGTTTTAGGTAGGCGTGGCTGATTCTTAACTTTGATAAAGAATATCTCTTTGGATTTGAGACTTTAGTCTTTGCAGCTTTACAGATCTTCTTTATGCACCAAGAGCTTGTAACACTCCAAAGAGAAAGGAAAAATTTAAATCGCATCATATGACCCCTTTAAAGCTTGGCTCACCTCTCATTTGTTTACATGGAGAGGGCAGGGTTTATGACCTATACTGCAGCCAGCCACCAGGAGGTGATCTAAATGTTTTGGATTCACTTTTCTTGACATGTATAGAGTACAACATAGTGTGTCATGACGCAGATCAAAAATATAAACACAGTTGTTTGTCTTTAGTAACTGTAATAGGCAGCACGAAAAAATCTGTGTGTAAAATGTATAAAATGTTTCATTAAACATTGCGGTCTAAATCTTGGTAACTAACATTTTTATTTTGTGTTCTCTATTCAACACTTGAATATATTGCTTTATTTTATCGTCTTTCATTCTCCCTCCGCAGAGACGCCCATGCTAGAGGATGCAGATGAGGGAGGAGTGAGACTGTGGCATCTAGTGAAGGCCAGTGAGGAGCCAGAGTTACCCAAACACAGACGAGGCAGTTTAAAAGAACGAGAAAGAGCCAAGACAATACCAGAGATCTATCTCACGCGGCTACTGTCAATGAAGGTATCTTAAACGCACGTTCACACAGCCTAAAGATAGACAAAAGCATAAAAGAGAAGCCAAACTCATAACAGTTATGTACAACTCTTTCTAGTATGCATGGGTTAAAAAAATGACCATGCGCACACCTGTTTACTTGCTGTGTCTTTGTCTTTCTGTAGGGTACACTGCAGAAGTTTGTGGATGATCTGTTCACAGTTATTCTAAGCACTAGTCAACCGGTTCCTCTGGCAATCAAATATTTCTTTGACTTGCTTGATGATCAGGCAGTGCGCCATGGCATTTCAGACTCTGAAACTATTCACATCTGGAAAACTAACAGGTACTAATTCACTTAGTGAACAATTTAACCATAAAAAAATGCTAAAACACAATCCGAGAATAGTTGTGTTTTTCCAGTCGAGAAACTTATGGGTTAATGCATGCCAACAAAAATAACTGTCATTGATTTAAATTTTTCTTTTTTCTTTGGTCACCTTTTTTATATTGACCTGTGATCAGTGATAAAGGGTCAATATAAAAAAGGTGACCAAAGAAAGAAAGACATTCTGTCATTTACTTGCACTCATGTGATTCCAAATTTAGACTTTTGTTAATTTTCTGCGTAAAATACGTAACGTTTTTAGTTGTGTGGACTTTGAATGGATGGATGGACCAAAATGTTAAGAGAATATTAATATCTTTATTTGTGTCCCGAAGATGAACAAAAGTTTCTTTTTTGGGTGAACTATAGCTTTATCCTAAGTATTTAATGGAGCTACTCTGTGATAGTCTCATAAATGAATGGATTAGAATTAGATATTGAAAGCCTTAACCAGATTAAAACGATCAAGTATCCACCTACGAGTGAAGTAATAGTTTAAAGTTTTCTTGATGATCTGATTTGGTTGTCTTTTGGTTCTAGTTTGCCTCTGCGGTTCTGGATCAACATTGTAAAGAACCCTCAGTTCATCTTCGATGTGCAGGTGTCAGATAATGTGGACGCGGTTCTGTCAGTTATTGCTCAAACATTCATGGACTCCTGCACTACCACAGAGCATAAACTTGGAAGGGTAAGAGACAAACAGAGAAAGGAACAGGAAGCCAGCAGAGTGGAATATTGACATTGCTGAAGATTAAAAACTGATATTTTTCTTTTTATTCCTGTTATTTATCTAGGATTCACCTATTAATAAGTTGCTGTATGCCAGAGATATCCCTCGCTATAAACAGATGGTTGAACGGTAAAAATACCTTGGACTACTTTACTACTGTATAGGCTATATTAGAAAGTCATCTTGTTCTGAATGTCACTGTTTTTCTTAAACAGATATTATGCAGACATCAAGCAGACCATCTCTGCCAGCGATCAGGAGATGAACTCTGCTCTTGCGGAGCTCTCCAGGGTATGTCTGTCATTAGTTTACTTCCTTTCAGTTGTAAAATTGGAATAAGTCATTTTGACTGAAGTGAATTTGTAATGGGTTAGAGATGGTGGGGGTTAGTGTAGCACATACAAATTTTGCTCATAAGATTTACACACTCTACATTTGTTTTGACTGTCAGAATTACTCTGGAGAATTAAATTACCTGGTGGCCCTGCATGAGCTCTATAAGTACATCAACAAATACTACGACCAGGTGAGTCATGAGAGGCTAAGATATATTTTAAGACAATGTATAAGCTCTTAGGCTAAGACTATACAAAAAGGTTCAATTGATTAGCATCAGTTAACTACTATAAGTTAACATGAACTAACAATGTATTTCTACAGCATTAATCTTAATGGTAATTTTAATGTTTACTAATATATTGGGTCACACTTTAGATTGCGGATTCTCACTATTAACTAGCTATTAACTAGGACTTTTTTCCCCAGTAAACTCCTAATTTGCTGCTTATTAATAGTTAGTAAGGTAGTTGTTAATTTTAGGTATGGGGTAGGATTAGGGGATCTAAAATATGGTCATGCAAAATAAAGCATTAATATGCGCTTTATAAGTACTAGTAAACAGCCAATATGCTAGTAATATGCATGCTAATAAGTAACTAGTTAATAGTGAGAATCTGTCCATAAACTAAAGTGTTACCGAATGCTGAAAATAATACACTACTGTTCACAGGTTTGGGGTCAGTAACATTTTCTTTAAAGAAATGAATACTTTTATTCAACAAGGATACATTAAATCAGTAATTGTCAAACCTTTTACAGCGGCGTACCCGCTGGGGCATTTAACATTCTTCTGCGTACCCCCTCTCTTCCACTTAGACCGCAGTCACACCTTTTCTATTAAAGGACAATATTTGCCCCCTTAAATTGATTTACAGGTGCATTTTTTTTACCTTTATAGAGGCAAAGATTTTCTATCCTTATTAATGTTATCTTATGTCATGTTTTATATACATGTTTTATTCTTAACATTCCATTAAGTGTATTATTAATAAAATAAATAAAGCAATAAATTATGGAAAATCAAAGTGATTACTTGTAGACTTAAAAATAAAACCGCCAATAGGTGGCAGCAAGTCACTGTCTTAATGAGCCAGGCATCGCGTCATTCATTCATTCATTCAGTAACGAAGCAAAATGCTGAAGTTATGAATGGGTTATTAATCACTGACGCTCCGAATCATTCAAAGCCGCAGATTCGTTCACTAATGAAACACCGCTGTATGTTGCTTGGAGACGCACACCAGATGATACGGATTTCGTTGGAACTATTATTATTTCGTTGCAAAATATAACAAACATGACAATATTCTGTTTAAAATGTAGGCTACATTTAAAATGTAAAATGTTCCCTTAATATTACCTTTTTTGTTGAACTGTTGTAAAAATTAATGTCACATTTGCCATCGTTTGGATATTCAGGGAAATTTGCATTCTTGCTCGT